GGGGGGCTGGCTCCAGAGGGGGGGTACTTTGCCCCCCCCGATCCTTTCCTCCCCATCCCTAAATGCTTCCCTCCTCCCGCTCTGTCACCCTAACACACACGTAGGGCTTTGAGGTGCAGGTGCGTCGCTGGGATGCAGGGGAGGTATTCCTCCTCTGTCCCCCCGTGACCACCTGTGTCTCAATCACACATCACAACTTAGACACTCTCATTACTTACTCTCTCATGACACATACACTTAGGGCCTTGGGGGTGGGCACACGGAATGGCGTCCAGAAGGCGGTCTGTTCACTCAGCCTTACCTCTGGTCCAGTGCCCACTTCTCAATTTTAAGTCGCACATAGACATTGAGGGTTCTGGGGAGGGGCTGAGCTGACACCAGCTGCTGATTGGCAGAGGGTGGTTAGCACCATGCCCTTCCCCTGTTTTAAAGCACTTTAGAACAACACGCACCAACACCACATCTGAGCATGGCGGAGGGAAGCATGGGGTCTTTTCACACCCCCGTTCTCTGTTCACCATCTGGGGCCGGGGGCTGAGAAGAAGAGCTGGCCGTCCGGTCGGGGTCTGGGTAGGTGGGCTTCTTGGCTGCTGCGGGGTCCGGGGTGGTCTTCTTGTCCCCACGCCAGAGGAAAAGAGGGGTCCATCTCTGGGGTCTGGTGGCGGATTGCCCCTCTGGGGGTGGTGGTGCCTGGATCTCGGCGTATAGAGTATATATGGGGAGTGTGAGTGTGTGTACGGCGTTCATTTCTGTGTCTCCATGTTGGGCGATTGGGTGAACATTTGTTTATGTGCGCATGAGAGTGGGAACGTATGCTTGTGTATGTGTACGCCTGTTTGTCTATACGTATGTGTCAGGTTGGGTCTTAGACTCCACCTGAAATAACATCTCAGGCTCTATTCCCCCCCGCCACACTCCCTGCCGGTGGTTGGGGCCCCCGGCTGCCGATGCGTCGGTGGTTCTCGATGTCCGGGGTTGGATGCTCTGGTGTGTGCTGGCTCACTCTCGGCGGTTGCCTGGCGGGGCCTGGCCCTCCCAGCTCTGTCGGGCCCCGGCTGGGGGGTGGGGGGGCCCTTGGATCTCTGGGCCTGGGGTCCGGTCTGCCCTGGTGTGGCCGGCCGCCGACAGAGCCTGAGTGCTTGCTGCCACGGCCCCCTGGGGCTCCTGCGGTGTGGATGATGGATGGCCCCCCTCCGGAGCGCTCCTCTGCCATTTTCTGGGTGGGGGCTGCAATTGTCCCTGCGGTGGTCCTCCTGGGGATCCCGTGCCCTGGGGGACTCGGGATGTCTGGGGACCGGGTCTCCTCCATGTCAGCTTCATGTCCTGGGGGGGCGGGGCTGTGGCTCCCCACACACACTACTAGACATATACATGGAGAATCCTTATGAACACCAGCGCGCTGACACACACAGGTGTGCACACAAGTGCTCACGGACACACACTGTCTTGATTGCCTGTTGCTTCTGGACATGTGTTGTAATGCTGGTTGTGTGTGCTGTTCAACAACATTTAACGTTTGATGTTCGTTGTGATTCGTACAGATGTTGGTTGTTGCTTTTCTCTCTTCGGTAGACATGGAAGCAGATTATCTGGGTTTTTTTTTTTCTCCTCTCTCTCCCTCTCTTTCTATCTCCTTTCTTCTTTTTTTCCCCCCTCTCTCTCCCTCTCCTTCTCTTGAGGAAGTAAATAAATTTAAAAAATCAAAAATAAATAAATAAGAAAATAGAAATAAAGCAGTCCTCCGCAGAGGGGGGTGGTGGAGGGAATATACATATATATTAAAAAAAGTAATACAGTAGGTCTTAAGATGTTTTACCAGGACATTCAAGAATCATCTCAAAACCTATCCCTTCAGGTAACATCTCAACTGACCGCATCCTGTGACTGACCCTCACTGTCTCCACTGACTATTCCATTGATGTGATTTCACTTCTTCTTGTATTGCACACTTAATATTGTTACAGTTCTTGCTTTGCTAGAAGATGTTAAGTAGCTATTGCTCCTATACTGCTTCACTGGAAGCTCAGCCTAGCCACACTTATGTGTAGTTGACTCCTCAAAGCTGTATATTTCTAATGTAGTATTTACCTCACTTGTACGTCACTTTGGACTAAAGTGTCTGCTAAAGGAAAATAAATGTAAATATAAAATGCACCCTTACATTTATTAGATTCTCCTAGTACATTTTCTTACTACTGAATTATTTTGCTGTTACTTATTTGTACAGCCCCTCTGATGTCAGGTTCTAACAGTCGTCACTGGTCACCCATTAGAAGCTCAGTCTAGTAGTTTCTGATATATAACTGTAAAATATAAATGCAGTACAAAACACCTATCTTTGTTCCTCTACCCCAATTGTTTTACATCTTTCACAGATTCCTAGAGGTCCCCAGGATAACTGTTTTTCTAGTGAGAAAACTATAGACACAAAGCATAATTACAGTCATGACTGGAAGCCCTCATTAAATACCGGATTTGCAAAAACAAATTTGAATGGAAGTACAACCCCATTTCCAGAAAAGTTGGGACGCTGTGTGAAATGTAAATAAAAACAGAATGCAATGATTCGCAAATCATATAAACTCATATGTAATTGAAAATAAAACAAAAACAATCAACGTCAAATGTTAAAACTGAGAAAAAATTGTTTTATGACAAATACATGCTTAATTTCAATATTTAAAAAAAGTTGGGACAGGGGCGTGTTTACTATTGTGTTGCATCTCCTCTTCTTTTAACAGCACTCTGTACATATTTGGGAGCTGAGCAGACCAGTGGCCTGTACTACGAAGCGGGGTTACTGGCTTATCGGGGTAACTTGTCGGATTTAAGGTACCACAGTTTAAATGGACTTCATATTCGTTCACTTACATTTTGCCCAGACTACCTTAATTAAATCCGACAAGTTACCCCGATAAGCCAGTAACCCCGCTTCGTAGTACAGGCCCCAGTTGCTGGAGTTTTGAAAGTGAAATGTTGTCCCATTCTTGCCTGATATAGGATTTCAGCTGCTCCTTTGTTTTTGTTTTTGTTTGTTTTTTTTTTTCATTTTCAGGATGCATGATACCTTTCATGCCGGCTCGGAATCCTGTGAGTGTCTGGAGTGATTCTACTCCATTGGGCCCTTGAGCAAGGCCCTAAACCTACAATTGCTTTGTCCTGGGTATGACGTTAATCTACATCCAGCCCTATAAGGAGGTCCTCCAACTTTAGAGGTTGGTGGCAGGATTGGCACTCCAGCCACCAGAAAAAAAAACTTCACACTGTCCCATTCCATTGGAACTAGTGTGGTGCTGAGGTATCATCCGCCGCACTGCTGCTCTCGGGTCTCATCCCTGACGTGGATTATCATGGGGTAGGTGGGCAATGCGCTGTATCAGCACAAGCTCCATACCTCTCTCTTGATGCTGCAAATGTTTTCAGTGAGTGACAGGTCTGGACTGCAGGCAGGCCAGCCTGGGACCCAGATTTTTCTACAATGGAACCATGCTGTTGTAATATACACAGAATGTAGTTTGGCATTGTCTTGCTGAAATATACAAGACCTTCTCTGAAATAGACGTCGCATGGATGGCAGCATATGTTGCTCCAAAACCTCTATATATCGTTCAGCATTAATGGTGCCTTCCCAGGTGTGCAAGCTACCCAGGCCATGGGCACTAATGCACCCCCATACCATCACGGATGGTGACTTTTCAACTGTCCGCTGATGACAAGCTGGATGGTCGCTCTCCTCTTTACCCAGGTGGACGCACGCGGTGTCCATGATTTCCAAAAAGAATTTGAAATTCTGATTCATCAGACCACAGGACAGTTTACCATTTTGCTTCTTAAATGAGCAGAAATGAGAAGTTGGTGGCATTTCTGGATCATGTCTATATATGGTTTCTTCTTTGCATGGTACAGATTCATCCTGCATTGGTGGATGCAGTGACAAACTGTGTTCACAGACAATGGTTTTGGGTAGTGTTCTTGAGCTTATGCAATGATATCTACTACAGGATCATGTCTGTTTTTCATGTCCTGCACCGGGTCGGGTACCCGCAGATAGTTGCTGAAACGGGCAGATTTTAATGTTCTGGAATTTTACGGGCGGGTATGCGGGCGGGTAATTCATTACACATGGGCGGGTAGCTGGTCAATCAAAACAGTATTGTAGCCTGCAAAAATAACATATAAGTGAAAATATCTATGTATTAGACTATCATGTACAAAATGTCATCATCAGAGTGTGTTCAGTATGTCGGGGGTACCTAGATAACCGCCTCGACAAACATTCACATACACGTCTGAATCCTTGCTGAAGCGTGTCGTCGTGTTCTCTCTTTCACGCTCGTCACAGTATGGATAGCTTAGATCTATCTGATTTGATTTTGTGTTAGACGGACTTTTTCGTTTCAATTCAAAATTCATGTAGGCTTAGCGCTTGTCACGTTGAGAGGTGCATCGAAAAAATAACTGTGTGTAATTTATCACGGGTACGGACGGGTAACAGGTGGAATGTTAACGGGCTCGGGCGGGTGCAGATTTAACTTTGAAATAATCACGGGTGCACAGGCGGGTGTGGTGCTGTACTGTGCGGGTATGGGCGGGTGCAGGGCTCCAAAAGTGCACCCGTGCAGGACTCTGCCTCCACTCCACCCTGCACCAGATTCTCTGAATCTTTTAATGACATTACATGCTGTAGATGATGAAAGTCCCAAATTCTTTGCAAAATTACATTGAGGAACATTATTCTTTAATTGTTGCACTATTTGCTCACACAGTCTTTCACAGAGTGGTGAACCTCTCCACATCTTCACTCCACAGAGACTCTGCCTCTCTTTACATACCCAATCATCTTACTAACCTGTTGCCAATTAACCTAATTAGTTGTGAGATATTCAATTAGGTGTTTTTACACAACTTTTCCAGTCTTTTGTTGCCCCTGTCCCAACTTTTTTTGAAATGTGTTGCTGGCATCAAATTCAAGTTGAACATATATTTGAGCATATATAAACAATAAAATTTCTGAATTTCAACTTTTGATATGTTGTCTTTGTTCTGTTTTCAATTAAATGTGGGTTTATATGATATGATTTGCAAATTATTGCATTCTATTTTTATTTACATTTCACACAACGTTTTTGCAAATGGGATTGTATACTCAGGAACATTTGCACCTAAACATGATTTTTTTTGTGTGTGTCAGGGCTAGAACACTGAGTCTAACATTACTTTGCACCTGAATAACTTTATATATATATAAAATCTATGTATTGATTTTTTTATATATACACAGTAATTTTTTGTCTTCAAATTTATGATCTTTCTCTGTCAGCAGGTTATACTCACTGTGAGCTGCAAAGTACCCAATATCTCCTTGTATCAAGGGACCTGTATCCTAAGACATTATCTATGCGCTCAAAAGCCATTGTCAGTTGTGCACACAGGAATATTTATTGGTATTTGGCTACCTGGATGCTTTTGTGAAATGCAGGTCTGCCAGAAGCAGTAACTTAATGCTCAGCAGATACAGAACTATTGCTTCGGATAGGGCTACTGGCAAATTCGCTGTTTTCTGCTGTCCGTGTGGAAACCTTTTTCTCCAGTGTTGTTTCATGAGAATTTGTTATCCTTCCCTTTGGTTTGCATCAAGTCCCAGATAAAAACTGCTAGATTTATAAAATGTAACTAAAGATACAGATCAATGTGCAGCATCTGCATTAAGTGGGGGGGGGCTAAATGAGGGATTTCTCGGAAGAAGCATCCTGACCCCCGACAGTCTCACCCAGAAGGCGGCCACAGATGTGCTATAGTGGCTGTTACAAGTACGACATTTGTTGCCATTAAAGTTCTTTTCTATTTTGGGTCCCATTTTTGAGTTTAAGCCTTAGTTTAACATTTTAATTAACATTTTGGCCATGCCGCCTCAATTAAGTTTCAAATCACTGTATATTTAATTTATTCAAAATTTTACTTATAAATGCACAAACTTACAAATGCACTGTGAAAGACTACATGCAGGTCTGCCTTATATTTCCTAGAATGTAAGATCTCATATCTCACACATATATCCAGCCAGGCCTCCACTCAGTGACGCCTATCTGTCTACTTAGTTGTTACACACCTGTGGCTCACTAATTCAGGCAGCTGCATGGAAATTTTACAACATTACCCCTTTGCATGATAACACAGTATTTATTTTGCGTCTCTCCTGTTTCCCTGCATGACTTTCACCTGATCTTTCAGTTTTCTTGTTCTTTGTCTTGTTTTTTGTTTCTCTCACTGTATTTCTCTCATCAGCAGGGGTGGATCTAAAGCAGGGCTGGGCAGTCTTATCCTGGAGGGGCTGTTGGGTATGTGGGTTTTCACTGAAACTCCCTAATTAGATTACTAATCAGAGGATTGATTGGCTGAAGAGTCCTCACATCTGTGTTTGAACAGCTGACCTAAAGGTTACCCCAAAAACCTGCATACACACCGGCCCTATGCGGATAGGATGGGTCACCTGTATTAAATATGTGAAACCACAGAAGAGACTCAGTGCTGTGTGGCTCCACCATAAAGTTAACTGGCTCCAGAAGGGCAACCCAAACATTTTCTACAGGTGCTCACTGGACCTGACCTCAGGCTTTGATGATTCTCTTTAGGGTTATGATTTTCGTTTGGCTTTTTGTGTTTCCCTTGCCTGCTTTTCACATAGTGGCTGTGTTTTTTTAAACTATGATTTTTGGGCTACACTTCTTGGAAATATACCTTGTCATTCCTGCTGTTGGATCCTCTCTTTCATCAGTACTTTACAAGAGGCACATGACAGTGGCTCAGACAATGGAGAGCAAGATGGGATATGTGAATATTACCCAATTTCCCCATGGGAAACAGGAATCAGAGTTCCAGGACTAACACAAAAATAAGTACACAGGAAAAGCTGCTATTTTGGTTGGGTCAGACGAAAATCAACCCAAGACATGCGGAACAGGGACAAAAAACCCAACGGGTACTTTGCTGCCACAGATCTCATCAGGTGTCTATGGGCAAGGTACTGTAACCCAATCATTTATATAAAGATGTCTTTCGCTTAACATCCTAAGTTTAATTTACATTGCAGAATTTAGGGGTCAAAAATAGAAAGATCACTGAAAACTGTATCCAAATCAGAGACACCGTGATTGGTGTTACCAATGCCTGCTTAGCATCAAAACAATAGAATCAATTAAGTTCCAGGTATCTGACTAATGCTACCAATGACATTACACTGAATATTACAGTCCAAAGATACATTTGATTGGTAGATATAATTGAAACATTCAGTCAGTAATCAATACCTTTTGCCCTATAGTATATAATAAAGTTTTATCGGTTTGCATTAAATTATATGCAGATAAGTTTTTTTGATTGCCCACCAGTGCATTCTTAATGACGTTCCAAAAGTCACCCCGGCACGACCCCCACCCCCAAGTTCTGCAGAGTATGATCAGGCAAATACTTGACTTTTCATTTTTAGTAATAGATTCTCGTCTTACAGTATTTGCAGAAGTTATTGCCATCCTTTTACACATACAGTACTTGCTGTTTCCATCCCAACCGCTAATGTAGCTGCCAGTTTAAGGTCAGCAATGGGCAGAGAGTACACACTGGGAGGTGGTGTCATCCAGGCTACATCACAAGCTCTCTCAATGTAATGATGTCAATGTGTTTTTCCTCCCGCCTACCTCTATAATGTGACGAATATGCAGTTGGATGCCATTAGCATCCCTCAAATTGTCAGGCCCATTTTCAGCATGATCTGTCTTTTTGTTAACTTATTGTAGGTAGCTTTTGATTTCAGGGGCAGCAGAAAGCAATGGTAAGAACTGGGTATGTATTAACTGGCTATGTATAAATCTTATATATTAAGAGTGTAACGGTACACGTATTTATATGGAAAATTTTCGGTACGGGTCTTTCAGTTCGGTACACATATGTTCCGAAGGAATGCAGCAAATGTGGAACCTTTTTGTTTGTGTGTTTCCGAAAGCAACATTCGGAAAGACAGCTGAAACCACACCACTAGGCATGCATGCAGCTAACAGCGAACATAGATACACCAGAACCTGAATATCCTTCACCATCACTAGTACAGTATAAGATTTTTTTTAAATGCTGCATCAAAATGGATGTTTATTTTGTTAAAATTCATATTTTTTTGAGACAATATTTGTGTTGCACAGTTCTAAAATGAAGCTGAAAGCTGCTAACATGAATAGAACACAGGTCAGGTTCAGTTCATTTCCTAAATGTGCACCTTAATGAATATTTATTTTATTTCTATTTACTTGAGAGAATATTTATTGATGTACTTTAAATGTTACTTTTTTATTAGTAGGTTGCAGCAGTTTTGAGAGACTTTTTTTATTTAAGAAAGATAGCCTTAGTGGATCAGTAAGGCACTAGTTAATAAAGAAAGAAAAGAAGCAATTTATACTTTGTTTCTTTTACCCCAAGGTTTACACACACACACACACACACACACAGGTTTGTAATTATATCTTTGTGGGGACTCTCCATTTCTATGGGGAAAACTCTGATCCCAACATGACGACCTTAACCCCTACCCAGCCCTAACCTTAACCATAAGTAACCAAACTACATACAAGACTTTTGGCATTTTTGTTTTTTTTTTGCATTCATAGATTTGGTCCCCACAATGCAAAGTGTGGTAAATGTAATGTAACTTAAACCTAATCCTATACATACAACCTAAACTTAACCCACACTGTGTATAGATACACACACATACCATGT